TGAGTTAACAATGGCAGCTGGAGAGGGTCATTGCAGTCTGGGGCTGTTATTTCGTGGTGCAATACTTGACTCCCGGGCCTAAACCGCGGCACCAACGGAAAAACCGCTGCTGAAGGGAAGTACCGCGGATCTGTGGGCTTGGTACCGCTGATACCAATGGGCCGCTGTCCTATTTCGAGCTGGGTACTAGAGGCTCAGGAGGGCAGCGTGCCTTACTGGTATGCAGTAAAGGCCACGGATATAGAAGAAGTAATGGGCCAGAGGGGGATTCATTCGGACGGGGGCGGACTGCACAGTGAGCCGGGTGTACACAGCCCACATCGGAGCTCACATAGAGGATCAGGTTGAGCTGGGGTCGGAGCAGCGTTCCTGGCGTCTGCCGCTTGCTCCTTCATACAGCCCGAGTGGAAAAGAAGAGCAGGCAGGCGGCAGTGATTAGGGCAGTATGCACGGTGTACTCAGCGCACATCGCAACTGGATGCAGGCAAGGTCAACGGGCGGGGAGCGAAGCAGGGAACTGGCATGCGCGGCCGGTGCGCGGGCTCGGGCATTGTGAGGAGAGAGGAAAGCAGTCACTCGGGGCACACGGCATGCCCTGTCCACGGCTGCTCATGCTTACTCTCAGGGTTAGACAGTTGACGCTTGTCTCACACTGAAGTAATCGTGTTCACATGGGTGGACGACGGACACTCGGAAGGAGGTGCCAGGCGTACCTGGCGACCCGAAGACTGGAACGATGTGAGATTGATATGCTTAGGGCTGAAGGTCTCGGCAGACGAACGCCGCAGGAACTGCTCGCTGCTTTCCAAACTCTTGCTTGCAAGCTCCAAGGAAGCGGAAGAACGCAGTTATGGCACAAGTGGTGGAAGGAAGGAGAGAGACTCCGCGTGCGTGAATGAGAAGTTTAAATCACCGAGGGAACGGATGAGTCAGTAAACGACACGTATTACTGAGTGAGTGCGACACGCACTGGGTGCAGAGGAAAGCGAGGTTGATGATCGAGCTAGGCACGAAGGGTCGCGATCGTCAACTGAAGAGGACGAGAAAGGTTGGGTGAAGCTAAAACGCCTGCGGGCGAGACAGAGGGGAGAGGATCAAGCCTCTCCATTCGCAAGAAGGCCAACTGGTATGAGCAGAGCGCGAAGCTAAGAAGCGGTCGCATGCCGGAAGGAGACTCTTCTCCCAACAGCACATCTCGCCAGGAGCAACCATTCGCCCGCTCAGCAAGCGAGACCCAGCCGATCCCGTAATTCACGAACTCCGAACACCAATCAGTCAAAATCTTGAGACGAAGGTGATTACTCTCTCTCGCCCAACAATGCCACCAGCTTCCCCGTAATGGAAGAGGACTTAGAAGGCTGTTTGATCAAGGTGCGAGATCGCGAGTCACAGATCTCTTCGGCCAGAGTCGGCCCTTTTGGACACCAGAGCACTCAAGTATCCGTGAATCGTGAGCGTTGGTTAAGTGGCGTGGGGGTTTCCTCTTTACGAGAAAAAGTACTCTTTTCTCTTCTCCACCCGTGCAAACTGCAACAGAGAACCACCACGAATAATGGTCATTTCACACTCGTCATTCGGCGCCAGGGCGTTCAGCGCCCTCGCCCTGGACTAGATGACATTTCCAATTGTTGTGCATGGACCAAGGAATACGAATCTTTCGTGCCTTTACCCCTAGTCTACCTCAGGATTTTGAATTTTGCTGGACATGTGTTGTAACGAACCTGGTTCTCCTGACAGGGCCGAGCCTCTAACCATGAGTGACTTTGTCTAGCATGAGCAGTGACTTGTTAAATCGCTCAGAACGGTTGACGAACGACTGTTGAGGGATTAATCATTATCAGTGCGGAGCCTTGAAGTATGTGCGGTGACTTGCTAAATTGCTCAGATCAGTTGGTGATTAGCTGTTCATCAGTTGGGGGGGGGAGTCATCTGCTCGCTCTAGTAAATGCCTGTTGTACATTGGATGATTTAAGTACTAGATACTACTAGTTAACAAAGCCTGGATATCCATTGTCTGGTTCAAAGTTAGCGACACATGTTTCAGCCTGAGTGATGCCCTGAGTTCCAATATTCAAAGCTTGAATGTTCATTATACAGTCGAAGCTCGCTCCCCATGAACAGAGTTGATACCTGGTAATCAAAAGTCGTCACTCATAACTCAATCGGTACCCAGCTGTACCTGGTTGGGGCGGACACTCGGGGGATAAAGGTTTGACATTTGTCACGCGATCATGAACTAGTCGTTTATGATGCCGACTGGCGCTGACTGGGATTCGGTATATGCCTGCTATTCACCGACAGTTCCAATGTCTCCTGCTCATCACAGGAGCGATTGACAAGCGGGGTAAGTATCCTGTGGTGCGTTAAATTGGGAAAACTCTCGATAACCCTGTGAGGTTATTTCTCGTAATATCTTCGCAAATTGAGAGAGTGGGAGGTATCTCGACAAGCGGGTTCCCGATTGGGTGTCGGAGCAAAGGACAAATGTAATTCTGTCGCTGTTGTCTCTTCGTACTCTTCTCCTATCAATGTGCGCGAACTAAGAGTAATCTGTTGCGGGTTATTAAGGACGGATTTCAACAGGCAGTACAGACACAGACACCCTGCTGGTCACTGAGGACCTCGGAAGCGGGCGCGGCGAGTGACAGGCGCCGTTGCCCTTGGCTTCAGCGAACGGTAGGCGACCCCTCCCCGGGTTTCCTCACACCGGTACCAGTCCAAGTAGTCTGAGTCTAGGGCCTGTACGGGCAATATCAGGGCCTGCAAAAATGTTTCGCTCCGAAAGGGAGGAGGTACCGGTTGCTGGGAGGCCGCGCGGCCTAGGAAGTCACCGCCCAAGAGGCAAGTAGGCCGCTATATCCTCAGAAGGAGCAAGTAGCTCCTCCTCATTTGCGGTGTGCAAGGATTGGCGACATACAGCTGGAGCCAAGCGCTGGACTTGGAGCGCTGCCTGGAGGAAGGAGAGCAGCTGGGCGTTCAGCCTGGCTATGGCGAGCAGCCCAGCCTGAGGAGGAGGAAGAAGGGGGCGAAGGAGGAGAGTGACGAGGTACCTACCTGGCTATGGTGGACACCATCTTCATCACCTTGATAGGCACTGAATCTGGAAGGCCCCAATTGGGGTGATGCCGCACCAAGGGAGCTCGAGGCAGAGTCAGGCATGGCGGCCTGATGAGCAGCGACATAGCTGCTTTGTGTTGTCCTTTGCACAACAGGGCAGAGCCCTTAGTAGTCCGCCATAGACTTGGCATGTGAGAGAAGGAAGAAGGGGGAAGCCATGGCTATGGCGGACCTACTGTTGTGCTTATAGTAAGAGGGAACTTTGGATATTGATTCTGGTTCATCCACTCATTGTTAATATTATTATTTGGAACTTGGAAGGTGGAGAGAGAAGGGGGATTTGTCATTGGTCTTGCTGGTGTACTTCTTCTTCTTCTTCTTCTTCTTCTTCTTCTTCTTGTTCTTGTTCTTCTTCTTTCTTCTTCTTCCTCCTCCTCCTCCTCCTCTTTCTCTCTTCTTCTTTGGTCTCTTTCTCTTTGCAAGTGCTTTCATTTCTTTTGCAATTGGGTGGCATTGTCTTTGCTTGTGAATTTGCACTTTGGAAATGACCAGGATCGTAACAGATAAATAAATACAGAGATAATGATACTCATTACATACCCCCTCGAGGAAAGGGCTAGTTTTGCTCTTATTCTACCTCCTCCTCAGACTTTCCTTGTCGGTCCATGTTCTACAATCATCTGTCAAGCATCAGCAGTATTAAACACCCATGCCACAGCCTTCTAGGCTCTAGCTATGGTTCTCGTGTGCTGGGGGGAGAAACCACCCTGTTTGCCTTTGAATTGGGGGAAATAACAAAACAACATTACATCGCTCGCACATGGATCATATCATCAGCGTCATTTCCGTAAACACTTGCCTCGCCTTCTGTGAGCTCACTTTGTCATCAAACTGACCCCCCATGTTCTCTCTCTTGCTTTTTCTTATCTTGTCCTGAAAAAGTCTCAAGGATATGCGACTATGGTCCCGTCTTATTTTCACGTTGAGGCATCACTTTGAAAGGATTCACGCTGAAGACACTCCGAATCCTGATACCAAGGTCCCAAGCTGTCCCATCAGGGTACGTCCTAGCGTCCGTGGGTCAAAGTTTCGCAGGTTGGTAAGCGTCGGTACCAAAACGTCACAGGTCGTTAGAACTCAGTTCGTCACCCGACAAGAAAAGTCCAGACCAATCCAGTCAAGTCCCAAGTCCTATTTGCAGCATGTCCCAGGAAAGTCTGGAAGCAACCGGGTCGACAAAATGATTGCAGCAGACAGGCCGCAGCCAATTGTTACCAGTGTGAAGCAGGCCAAGTCCAGAAAAAACGGGCTCAGGGATACTTGTGGTTTGAGGGTGTCGCTTCTACTTGTCGAAAAAGAACTATGCCCCAACTGCAACTCATATGGCTGCCTCCGCCAGGCCAGATACCCATAACCCACAGTTTCACTTTCTGAAGGTTTGGGGTTTCTTCCTAGTCAGATTGGGGAGAGCATGGTATTGGTACCATTGCGATGCCCTTTTGTGGAGTATGAGAAATGAACATCAATCCTTCTCATGGGGGAGAGCAATCAATGCTGTGTTGGGCCTTCCTCCCCCACTATAGTTACACTAGAACTATAGTTACACTAGGACTATAGTTACATTAGGACTATAGATAGACTAGGACTTCCAGGACTTGCCAATGGAATAGGGAGCGAACTCTTGCTGTGTAGAATACACAATGGAGAGATGACTGTAAGGCCATGTTTGTGTGGAGGAGGGGGAGGGGGAGGGGGAGGCTTCTCATCAGGGAGAGCAATCAATGCTGTGTTGGACCTTCCTCCCCTACTATAGCTACACTATGACTTTAGCTACACTTGGACTATAGTTACACTAGGACTATAGATAGACTACAACTTGGGGGGGGGGAGATAAAGATAAAGTCACCCTATAGCATACAGCGACCTTACAAGTGGAATCTTACCCTAGATAGAGTTCAGCCAGCGAAGCACAACTTCCCAGTCCGCTTGGGATAGATGTCAGTCCTGCAAAACAAACGCCGAGAAGAGCAGAAGACCCATATTAAAAATAGTAGACCCATATTAAAAATAGTGTCATCGGTAATGAGCGTGACTTCCCCTCTTCACACCAACATACAAGTGTGACATTTTGGTTAGTTGACTCTGAAAAAACTTCAGAAAAGATAAGGTATTGAAAATAGCAAAATGTGAGGGACTCGAACGCAATTGGAAGAAAGTGCAGCGTAGATGCCGTAGAGTGCTGTCGATTTTGTCAAGGCAGGAAAGCAATCAATGATCAAGTTTGGATCAACCTTTTAAAAAAGAAAAGTGATACGAACTATTACGAAGAGAAAAAGGAGAACCAGGGAGCATAAGTCCTCACAATGAAGTGACAACAACAATGGGAAGAATAATCCCTAAACAATGGACCACATACCTTCACAATCTGGCTTCACTGGGAACCATGCCATGACAATCCACAACACACCAGCGGCCCTTTATAAATGTATGCCTCGCATGCTCAGGTCTAAAACTAGAGCGAAGCCGCTCTCTCTCTCTCTCTCTCTCTCTCTCTCTCTCTCTCTCTCTCTCTCTCTCTCTCTCTCTCTCTCTCTCTCTCT